GCAGAGAGCACAGCAGGACCCTGTCACTGCATCCTGTGACCCCAGGGATGGGCAGAGAGCCTGGTACTCACCGAGGGATGCAAACTGCTTGTGCAGGGCCAGGCGGGACTGCAGGCGGCTCCGCAGCAGTTTCACTGTCAGCTCCATGTGGCTGGCACTCAGYGAATTGTCAGCAGCCACCGTGTGCTGTGGGCAGGAGGGATGTCAGGCCAGGAGCAACCCTTCCACAGGGATGGGCACCCATCAGTGCCACCAGCACTGTGACACGGGTGTGACATCAAACACGCCAGSGTGGCACAGAGCCAGCCCAGGGACAGGGCAGGACCCCAAAGCTCAGCTTAAGGGGAGGGTTTGTGCCATGCCTGAGGCTGATCCTTGGGGAAATGGAGGCCACCCAGCTTCTGCACCCACACGTAGGGGTGTCCCAGCTCCGACACGTAGTCACTCAGGGTCACGATGCTGCGGGGACAATGAGCAAGGGTCACATGGACCCAGGGAGGGATTGGCCGTGCTGGAGTGAGGAACTCACAGCAAGGGCTGGGTGACACTCACCCCACTTTATCAAACTGGAACTGGTTGGCCGGGTTGGGCGTTTTCCTGCCGTGGTCTCCTGGATAGAGGCAGTTGAGGAGGGAGTCTGGGGACAGCAGGTCCCTGGCAGAGAGAGGACAGAGGTCAATCAGCAGCAGCCTGGGCTCCACATCTCCCCACCAACAGCCCAGAGAAGGGCATGACAAGCTCCATGAGTTCAAGGGCAGGATGGCTTTCCCCTAATTCCACTCTGAAAGGAGATGTTTCCTTCCTGGCTGGAGAATGGAAATCACTGGGCACCAGCTCCTGCCCTTCCTGCTGCAGCTCTGGAGCTCGGGACAAGGTGACCTCAGCAGCAGGCAGGTGAGGGCAGCTGCCAGCCTCTGCCTGAATGTGGCAGCAGGAGAGGCTTTTCCCCTGCTCCTGGCAGCTCTGGCACTGCTGAGAGGTTCAATTCCCTGGCTGTGGCTTGTCACAGCCGAGGAGAGGAGCAGGAGGAGGGTGCTTGGGCTGTGCAGGGCTTCTGGACCCCCTGGGGGCAGAGAGGGCACTGCCTGGTGATCTCCAGGGTGTGCAGGGCTCCCAAAT